AAAGAAAGAAAGAAAGAAAGAAAGAAAGAAAGAAAGAAAGGAAGAAAGGAAGAAAAGGCAGGCAGACAAGAAAAGGCAGGCAGACAAGAAAAAACATATAATTATGCCTTTTGTCCTTCTTTCTATTGAATTATTATTCCTTTTCTTTTCAAATATTGTTCAATGGCTCGACAAAGCTGGAAAGCCATTTTGTGTGGGAGATTATTGCTATGCCAGCTCAAAATGAAAGAGATAGGGGGAACATTTTAAGCAGCTAAAACAACAAGACTTAGGCAACCTTGACCAATCTGGTCACCACCAAGTGTGTAGGAATTCAAGGCTATCAAGGAAAATGCCCCATCCTTGTCCCGTCTCAGCCACATGCATACAGCAATGGATCAGGGGAGGCACTTGCAACTTACATAATACTGATCGTCATTTTCATTGTAGGCCAGCTTCACAACTCCATAAGAACCCTAGAAATAAAAACACAACCAAAATCACTGTGTTGGTTGAGTCTCTTGTTTCATTGACCTGTTCCAGGGAGAGTCAGTCAGTCTAAAACTCTGTCCCAAGATAGAAGATTGTGCTTGTAAAACCCACTCTCCACCGCCTCCCCTCCTATTTTTTTTTCTGGCTGCCTCCACTTCATATTTTTTTATTCCCCCACTCTTTGATTTGTGGATAGTTTTTGGAGAAGGGTGGGCAAGCAGATTTTGAATTTTCTGCAGCCCCCATAGATGATCATCTGAAATGTGGGGGTACAATTTCTTGCTACTATAAAGTACATGAGGGTACTTTATAGGGTAAGTCTAAAAACAGACTTTATACATTTTTTTTTAAGACAAGGAAAAGCATAATCATATCCCATCCAAAAACTAGAAAAGCCATTCTCCTGTAATGCATTTTGCATCTCTGCACCACTGATCATCCCTCGAATCACCCCACCCCCCAAAAAACTTTAACTGCAGCTTCTAACCACTGCAAAAACAATCTGGTGGGACACACTTCAGATGGATGTTGCTTTCTGCTTGGATAAGGAACTGCCTGAAATAGAGCAGTATTGCAATGCCGTCAGCCAGCAGGTCAAGGTTGGGGATCTGTTTTTGATCGTGCCAGCTTTTCAGGCTGCCAAAAACTGCTTACTGCTTAGAAGTTGCTGGCAGCTCTCTTCTAAAATGTACTCCTGAAGATAATTTCTCTCTCTGGTGGCTGCATCCTTCCATTCCTGATGCCTACTGTTTATTACTCTCATTCTGTGGAAGGACAACCCAGGCTGGTCAGCAGGCAGCCAAAATGCCAGCAGATCCCAGACTTGTCTATCTACTTGTCTTCTTTAGCCAGGTTGCAATTAAAAGTGGAATTCACAGAACAGGAAAGAGTCTAGATTTATTTATTTATTTATTTATCAGATATAGATAGCCACCCACCTTAAGCAACTCTGAGCAGCTCACAACAATATTCAATTTATTAAGTAGCGAAATATCCTGTGATGTCCCTGTGAATTCTCTACATTGCCCAGGGGCACCAAGGGGCACAGTTTGGGAACCCTGGCCTTAAAGGCTTAAGGCACTCATTTCATCTTTTTCAAAACTCCCACTCCCCTCCCAATGAACTGTATCTTGGGTTCTGATCACGCCACCTTTGGGGTACAGCTCTCAAAGCCTACAAAAAGATAGGTGCAAGTCCTTGAGCAAACAGAAATCATTCTTCTCTGGTAAAAGAGGTGTATCTCCTCCTAGAGCAGGATTCCTCAACCTCAGCAACTTTAAGATGGGTGGACTTCAACTTCCAGAATTCTGGGAGTTGAAGTCCACCCATCTTAAAATTGCTGAGGTTGAGGAACCCTGCCCTAGAGAATTTATCTTCATTTAGTCTGCAATCTGTAACCCTGCTTTCAGTGCAAACCTCTAGGTATGGAAAATATTCACCTATTTGCTCTAAAATGCCTTTCAGCACTGGGAGACTTCTGATACAAGAAAACAGTTAAACTACATTGCATCTGAATGGAAATAACCAGGCCCGATGGCCAAGGTTGGCCTTTTGAAGTTCCAACAACCGGCTGCATTAAATGTTACTCAAAGTCTTTATATCATGTTTGAACGCTCCAGGCAGACAGCCAAGTAAAGTGCTTATAGATGAAAAGGAAAGTGTAACACTAATAATTACAATTCCAGGTATAATTATAATGACAATGCCAGCCAATAATTATTATTTCCTTACCTTGAGCTTTCCTCATGAGAAACAGAGGTGATAAATACAACATTTGTCTATCTAAAATTATTATTTGCGTTTTTGAAGGGGGGAAATGTATGTAAAAATGCTTGTCCCCTAATGGGGAATTAGCTCTGAAGCTAAGCAAGGTTGGCTTGGCCTTGGATGGAAGACTTCCAGGGATTATCAGGGCTATAAACTCGAGTAGAAAGTTAAAAAAAAATGGAAAAGACAACAACAAACTGTTGATGTTCTGCAGCTAAGCTCTCTGGATGTGTCGGTAAATTCACAAAGAATCAAACTCAACCTAGAAACCTTACCTTAACTAATGCAAACCTAAAGCACAGGTAAGTAGTTCTGAAACTGATTAATCAACCATATTGATGGTTAGCACTAATATTTCTGTAGAAATGCTATGATTGTCTGCCCGTCTTTGAGTGTCAAGTACTGAAAACTATTGGCTCTACAATTAAACATGCCCACTGAGACACCCTCCTTCAAGATGGAGAGATGGAGTATAAAAATATCTTGGTCCCAACTAGAACACCACAGTGAAAGACTGAATGAAATATACTGTAAGTATCTGTTGAAGTCACTGTTTTGGATATCAACACTATCTGGATGAATACAACAATCAAGTATTGGAGAGCATAATACTTGGAGGGTTCAAAGTGCAAAATGCAGACATCTAAGAAAACCAGAGTAGAAGGCAAATCATTAAAATACATATTTGAATTAGCTTTTCAGTTCATAAATATCAGTTTGCTGTGTGTGGCGCACTTGGAAGGGTTCTGATGACTACAAAAGAACTCTGGAGTCAGTCTGGCCTGCAAGAAGCCTACCCTGTCTTAGTGAAGACTAGTACTCCATAATAGTACTTTATGACTGATAAAAGTATATATCAGTTAATATTTGAAATCCCAAGAGATTAAAAGTGCCAGTTCTCTTATGGAAGGAAAGGGCTCCATATGATGTTAGACCAACCCAACAGACAGATGCCATTCTGATAAAAGGAAAACTGGAGTGGGCTGATTTCAGACTTGCAGAGTTGACTTTATTTTATCTTATCTTTTACTAGATATTTACTGACCCAATGTGGGAAAAAAATTGCCTGTTTTATTTCTGATCACATAACTCAGTTAAGAAATATATGATCAGTATCAGAACAAGCTTGCTCATGCTTGCACTCAATAACCTCAATAATAAAGAACTCAAAATAAGTTCTTTTTCCCTGAGTTCCCAGTGTAGTGCCTATGAAGCTAATGCACTCACAGACATCCAGCAAGCTCCAAGCCACACCTGATCCTTATGTTAGATTCTTCTAAGTGAAAAAATAAAAAAACAAAAATGGGAAGCTAGCATGCTACCTAGCAAATATTCAGTTCAAGAACAATCTTTCTTTCAAAGAATTCTTCTGAGTTCCACCCCACCCCCATCCCTTGCTGTAATGATACTTTTTTCAGCAACAAAATTGTGGGTGTTTTCATTATTTCTGGTTTTAGAAATAATCATTCAATTATTTTATTCTAAATTTATTAAATAATTTTAGAAATTTAGAAGGAACCAGAACCTTTCTAAATCTACTGCAAAACATCCAGAGATCTCCCAGTTAATTCCAATCCACATTCTGTCCAACCCTGGGGTAGAGAATAAGATGCTATAAACATACCTTTCCTATTTCACTTTTCAGTTTGTATTGATTCAGCTGCACACAATCCTGTGGATTAAAAATGATAAACCAAGTTAGTATGTAACCTCGAAAAGAATGGAGGAGGGGAGCAACAAAAAAATAGAAGGTCTGAGATGTAGTTTCACTTCTCTCTTAGCTCCTCAAAATAATGAGAAGTGACAAATATATTTTGGGACTTCACTCACTAGGGAAGATAAGATATAAATATTTGTAAGCTGCAATGCTTCCAATCTTCTTCTGTTCAAAAAAGTACAGCAACAGACAGAAGAGACAGCTTTGCCATAAAGGGACCATAAAGGAAGTTGTCCAGCTGTATTCCCATATTAAAGTATCAAAAATCCTTCATTACATTATTTTGTATTCTATTTCAATTTTGGGGGCTTTGGAATCTGGGTGACTTTGGTTAGGCTCAGAAGCTATGCAAGGTCAGACCTGGTTATTATTACTGGATGGGAGGTTACCCAAGAAATCCCAAAGCTTTTGGCTAGACTAGGAAGTTTGCTAGGTAGCATGCTAGGAAGTTGAAAAAACCATTCCAGAAGGTGCCAATGTCCGATCATTTCCCTATTGCTTCCGCCAAGAAGATGACATGGACGTGTCCATAAAGTCACCAGGAAATAAGCCTGACTTGAAGGAGACTTTGACTCTAACCCACCCCTCCTCTGGGTCAAGACTCTTCTTCTACAGTATTTTTACTAATGTGCAGGAGATGACATACCTCTCTCTGAAATACCTTGCATACGGAGGGGAATAAACAATGGAAGGAACTGAAAAGTAACATTAATAACCCACAGTTTTGGAATTAGTGTTAACAATGCTGCTAGTTAAACTATTATTCAAGGGGAGGGGAATTTGAAGCAACAATAAAAAAATGGTGGCAAAGGAAAGGACAGGGAAAACATTTTAGCTCTTTTTACAATAGATGAAAAGCTCATATTTCATAGAAAAACAATAAATGGGTATGGCAAGATCTCAATTTCTTAAGTTACAAGGGGGTACTTTCCAGGTATACATTAGGAAAACAAGAGAACTCAAATACGAGGCAGTGATTGGCTCTCCCTCATGGGAATAAACGTATTTTGGGGATGCTGAAGTTGTATTGCACTGTACATTTCAGATTCCACCTGGAGCAAAGGGGTGGACAAGGTTATCTTTCCCCAACCTGGACTTCCTCCAGATGCATGGACCAACTGCCAGAATGCCACTATGGCCATTGCTCAGAATTTTAGGAATTTAAATTCACACAAGAAAGCTAGAGTAGGTTATCTCCAAAGGCCCTTCAACTCCATGGTTCTATTGTCCCTTGATTCTATGCTGTAGCACTAAATCTCCTGCAGTGAACATGGAGTAGGACCTGATTGTAATTCTATGAAATGTCAATGATGTGAGAATGAACAATGGGTTCCTTTGAACTAATGACAGAAATACTCAGGAAATAATCATCACCCTTCCTGCTCTCCGCCCTCCCCCATAACAGCTACTCATAAACACTAAGGGGAAATCTTTTAATGTTTTGCTACTTTTGATTAATCAGAAAGTGAGGTCTGGGAGAGATCTTTGGCTATATTTTGCTCCTTTCTAAACGGGTGTTTTTGAAGTTCTCTCCCTCATCATGGAACTGAGCACCTGGTCTTATTTTATGTGCAGTCTGCAGTGGGCAAGAATAACATTCCAAAGACAGAGCATGCAAATAAATATGAAGAGCATGTATGTCCCAGGCCACATTGTTATAGAGGGAAGTATCTCAGAAAAGGAAAAAACCTATTTTTTTAGAAAACCACTCCCTTCTGTGTGAAACAGAAGAGGGTTTCCCACCTTTTGAACAAAAAGGCATCTATAACTGGGGGCTCTAGAAGACTGCAGCCCCTACCCACTTTTCCTACAAAGAAAAGGTTGAAGAAGAGCCCAAGAAATGAAACACAATAAAGCCACAGAATAAAATCTCCTAAAAGCAGCAAGAACATCTTCCAGTCTACTAAAAAGATGGACTAAGAAAACAGCCTCACTCTGGATAGGCATATATTTGTCACTTCTCATTTGTAAATTATTTCACCTCCAAAGAAAGGGGAATCCAGACAAAGGTCTGAAAAAAAATCTAAATAAGCAGGCAGGCTCATCATCGTCATCATCAGATAACAATATTGCTTATTCAGATAATGATGACTGAAGAAGAGAATACAATAATCTAGCATGCCTCAGGTTACCATGGCGAAGGGTTGAGCAAAAGCAGAGATTTCTAACCTCGCAACCACCTCTTAAAGTCATCTTTTATGACTACCTGGAGGACTTCCCACCACACCTTTTATTTTCTCTTTCATCCATGAATCCTCCTGTTTTCTATCTTTTTATCAACCAGAACTTTTGCACAAAGTGTGGCGATAAGATAACCTTGAAAACTGCTATCAGCTAAGCCCTAACTATATAATTTTCAGAGACTGATACACATAAATAGAAGAAAGATAGTTTTATGGTTTAAGGTAGCAACAAAACAGCTCTAGGTTGAATGTTCTCATTGGTCAGCACCTATGTCTTTATTATGCTGCTATCTAAAGATCTGGGGTTGAACTGGAAATAATATTTGCTAGTTTGGGCTTCGGGGCCAAAGTTCTACTCTTTGGTGTATTCAGCAGTTGCAACTACGGCTGGCAGTGAATGCAACAGACCCACTGCCCTCCTATGCGGCATACTGGTATTAGGTTGTTTTGTTGCTGCACAAAGAATTACTGTAAACTACAGTCAGATAATTAATCAAAGGTCCTGATTCATTGGATTTCAGGATGCTGTTCTGTGAGAGTAAGCCCATGAATGATATTTACATGGCCAAGGTATACAAAACAATACAAAATATTACCCACAGTATTAAATAAAGTAGGATTATTTCTTTGCATTGTATGTGCCTGTAATATGCAAATCATATGTACAGTATTGATACATACCATAGGAAGCCAAAATTAAGCTGTAAGGTTCTGGGAGAGAACAGTCAAATGGTGGAGTGGAACCCAGAAAAAACCAAGATAATGTCAAAATAAAAGGCCAGAATCAACCCCTTTAGAAGTCCGGCTTGTATTCTATTGACCCTCTGGCGTCCATACTGAAGCAGCTGCTGCAATCCACTCTCTGGCCACCTGTGCGAATGGTGGCACTGTAGCATAGCAGGGATCTGGAACTTTGTTGCTCCCTTATGGTGACTTGGTCCACGTGGAATTGGTTGCTCATTTCAGACAGAGTTTTTAAGAACACAGAAGCAAAACCCCGCTTCTTGAGCCTCTGAAGCAAAAGCAGACACCTGAGGCTGAATCAGGTTCAAAAGAACACAGCTCCCAGTTCCCAAAGCTACTCTTGTTCCATTTCTGCTGAGCTGGGGTGCTAGCAAAGGATTCCTTAATAATTGCTTGTGAATAAACATGAGAGACTTTTGCAGATTCTCCCCTTGTCAATTGTCTAAAAGTCAATAGAAAATGGTTATAAGGATGGATAGAAGCCTCTGACACAACCCTTCACAATGGAGAAAAGGAAGTGAAGAGGCTTTTGCAGCAGCCCTAACTAATGCAGAAGCTAATCTATGGGCTGGACCAAGGATTGCTGGATCAAAAAGCAGGATAAGGAGTGGTGCTTGACAGAACCCAGGATGGAGCCAGATGGCATATGGATAGAACCTGAGATCAAGGCTAGATCTAGGCAACAGTTTGAAGCAAGGCTGGGGGTTAGGAGAGAACTGTGGGAAAAGCCAAAAATTAAAATGGAAGAGGAAGATAAGTTTAGAAAAGTAACACTACAGTAATACAAGATGCTAAATTAGGAGGCAGAAATAACAGTGGATAGAAGAACATCGGGTTTAGAAAGACCTTTCAGTTCAAACAAAATGCAACTAGAAGTTCTTCCCTCTTTCCTATCCAGGAGGATCTAATCACCAGCTTGCGTGGGTAATTCAGTCCCAGGACCTCAGCATATCTGCAGAGAAGCTACATCCCACAGTTCAATAGCTCACCATAAGGGGAATCTGAGAAAAACAGATCTTGTACTAATTCCTGATTAGGAAGATCCAGTGAAAAGCTGGCTGGGTGGAGTCACTCCAAGATCCCTGAGAACCTACACCATACCTGGCTTGCCACAGACAGGAGAGGGAGACGTTGGCATATAAATCGAGCAGTTCGTCACACCTTTAACTACACTGTGGGGACAGATGGCACTTGGCTCTTTGGAGGAAAAGCCTGATGGATATGGTATTGACAGCTCTCAAGCCAACTTGAGAAAATTGTCCTATTCTCAAGGGTTAAATGTAAAATTCTCCAAGATAGAAAGGAAAGAGGAGGATTGGGACTACCTGATTTTAAATTGTATTTTGCTGCCTGCTATTTGGTTTGGATTAAGGAATGGCTGTTGTTAAGAAACAAGAGACTTTTAGAATTAGAAGTACATGGTTTGTGGTTTGGGTGGCATGGTTACTTATGGTATGATAAAGTTAAAGTAAACATAGATTTTAAAAATCATTATACAGGTAGTCCTCAACTTATGACCATTTGTTTAACGACTCTTCGAAGTTATGACAATGCTGAAAAAAGTGACTTACTACCTTTCCTCACACTTACAACCATCATAGTGACCCCATTATCATGTGATCAAAATTCAGGCACTTGGCAACCAGCACGTATTTACAACAATTGCAGCCTCCCAGGGTCACATAATCACCATTTGTGACCTTCCCAGGGGGCTTCTGACAGCACTGAAAAAAGTGACTTATGACTGTTCCTCACACTTATGACTGTTGTACCGATCCCGTGGTCATGTGATCAACGTTCAGGTGCTTCGCAATCAGCATGTATTTACAATGGTTGCAGTATCCCAGGGTTATGTGATTGCCATTTGTGATCTTCCCAGAGGGGTTCTAACAAGCAAAGTCAATGGGGGATTCACTTAACAACCGCATGATTTGCTTAATAACCCCAGTGATTCATTTAACAACTATGGCAAAAAAGGTCATAAAATCAGGCACAACTCACTTAACAACCACATCACTTAGCAATGGAAGTTCTGATCCCAATTGTAGTCGTAAGTTGAGGACTACCTGTACCAGGAATGCCATATTATGAATATGAAATAGATACAAACTCAGGCTATGCCCCAAAATATTTTTGTTGATCTCAGCCCAAGAAGTGTTTTGCAGAAAAGAAATGAGGGGCAAAGAAAAATGGTTAACTTATAAAAACTTGTTAGTACAAGAAAATGTAGAGCTTCAGATGAAATCAAGAGAGCAACTGATTGCAGAGTGGTTTAGTTTTCAATGGTTTTCATATGCACAATTAAGAGAAAGATTCAGTATAGATAAAGAAGTATCAGGAACAGAATATGATGTATAAAGGTACTTGTAATTACTGTCTGAAATGTGAAAAACATGAAAGGACATTTTGTCATTCATGGTGGACTTGTGAAAAAGCTATTGGACACAAATTCGTATGTTTGTGCAGAGAGTTTTAAAAAATAATATTCAGATGAAACTGGAATTTTTCTTACTAGGGCTTATGGACAGTTAACTAGAAAAGGCTCATGGACCACTGGTTTTATATATGGTAACTGGAGCGAGGCTATTATATGCACGAAGATGGAAGACTACAGAAATACCCTCAATGGAGAAGTGGATCGTGAAGATGGCTAAGTTTGCAGAAATGGCTAAATTGACTTGTTTGATTAAGGAGGGGACTACAATTACTTTTTATAAAAGACTGGAAAACTTTATGAATTTTTTGCTGAAAATGAATAAAAATTAACTGGTGATTTTGGGATTTATTAGTTTAAAAAGTTTGTTTATGGGAAGAAAGGAACCAAAATATGCAATTTGGGAGGGTGGAGATGGTAATTACTATGTATGTAACTGCTTGCGAAGAAGATTGGAAGTTGCTGCTTTAGATACATTCCTTTTTCTTTTTCTTTGTTATCTTTCACTTTTTTTTTTTTTTTTTACTCCTTTATATTTTCTTCCTCTTCCTACTTTTCCTTTTATGTTTCGGTAGTTTTTTAATCCTGTGTATAATCTTCTTATAATAAAAATTACTTTAAAAAGAAAGAAAATGGTTCTATCCTCTGATTCCAAACTCTCACCTAGTATTTCACTTCTTCTTCTGGAAGCTTTGGAAAGGAGTTAAATCCCAAGAAGCAGCCTTCAGCTCTAGCCTTATTGCCACAGAACATATGCCAGCTACTCTTTGCCAAAAAAATGTGTCACTGGCTAGATATGCAGAGGCTTCACATGGCACCTGCTTTTGCCGTTCCTTGTTTACACAATGCAGTGGGGAAGCACTCATCCATCTTCACTTTCAACTGATGGAGCCACCTTGAGCATAAGCCAGCAGCACATGGCATTGATTGATTTCATCTTCATTTTTGCCAAGATGAGTAAATTAGGTTGCATAATGATTGCAACCATAGCAGTATGGATATGCTGCCTCCGGGGCCTGACAATGACAAATGATTTTAGGAGGCTTTTGAAGGCATTCTTATGCATCGGAAGGTTCTGGGGAGATGGGTAAGAAATTTGTCTAGGAAAGCAGACAATCTCCAACCCTACATAATGTGCTTGTCAAACACTCTGATGATTTAGGTGGGGGCCAGGAGAGAGAAGGAATGGCAAAGAAGCCAACTCTTCGATAAAACAAATGTTTAAGCCAGCCTTCCCCAATCAGATGCTTAGCAGATGTGCTCAGCATTTACTCAAGACTCCCTATGGCACTGTGTTGGTTAGGAAGCTTGAGAGCTGAAGTCCAACACATCTGGAAAGAACCAGATTAGAGTAGCCTGCTGTACACTTATACAGTTAGGGCCTGTGGCAAAAATACTGCAATGTGGAGATTCCAGCCCTTCCAGCCCTCTTTCTTGCCATTCAGTTCTCTGTTTCATCTTTCCCCTACAGGTCTTTCTGAAAATCTTTAAAAAAAAAATTGCATAAACCTCAAGATCCTACTCCCCCCCACCCCAGTTATGTATGGGTTTGGATTACATCAATATCAGAAACAAAGAGGATGTCTTGCAAATAAAATGCCTACGTATGCTTTGTGCCCTGTAAACACTGAAAATAAAACATGCCGTATCTATATTAAGTCTTCAGTGAGTAGTTATAGGAAAGATAAATTAAAGATGAAAGGAAAAGGGCAGGAAGGGTAGACCTAGAAACCCAGAATAAATAGATATGTCTAAGAGACAAACTCAGTCATTCCCCTGCAGCCTCCATCAATGTCACATCAAACACCACCTCTAGCAACAGCTTTCTGTTTAAAAAGAATTGTGGCAGGTCACAATCATTATGACTTCTAGTGTGCTTAAAGAGACTTATTCTTTGGCCTTCTCAGAGATCCTTGACAATGTCAGAAAAATAAAAACAGGCAGACATCAGAGGGAAGCATATATTTTTGCACAAGATGGTAATCACAGATTCAGTTAGAAATATGGTGTAAAGGAATCTTTATTAGTATCATTATTCTTAAGAGTTGACGGAGTAGCTTATCTTTACAACAACTCTGTGGGTAGGTGCACTGGAGATACTTAATGGCTGAAACAGGAAGGAAGCACTCAGTTGCTTCCCATTACAAATTGCAAATGTCTACTTTGGTCCCCAAAAATCAGGGATCCCTTTTTTGTCTACTACACTGCATTGGCTTTCACCAAAGCATGTCTTCAACAACTGGGTTTTCTCTTACTGATAAATTTACATAGCACTATAGAGAGATAGTATTGTTACTAGTGACTACTATTACAAAGGAATTAGTCGATCCTCAGCTTGTATATATTTGGATGGAAATGTCACAGGAACCTCTTGCATTTCATGGCCATTTTGCTTTTTCCTCTGGACACAAATAAAAATATATCTGCCAACTAAGAACAATCCACAAGGGAGACTTGACTTAATGAAAGTTGATGCCACAAAACATCAGCTAGTCTTTACAGTCCAGTGAAACTGTTATGGGGATTTTTGCAGTTATCAATAGTGTAGCAACTACACACCCTTTGCCTGCATTAAATTTTTAAATTGCTTACTTTCCACTCTTGTGTGAGTCACCCTGGGAAATGCTACACACGTCAGCCAATAAAATAATAATAAGCAAGCTACCGCTACAGATAAAACTTCCCAAGGATATGTGCCAAAGCAAATGCATCCAAAGATGATGGTAGAGAGAAATGAAAGGGGCAGGTGGTAAAAATATGACTCAGGTAGACTGGTCAGGGGCAAGGAATGCTTGCATTAATGATTAGGAATAGTTGTGGATCTTGGTGGATCTTTTGCACTGCTGAACTACAGCTATCCCCAATGGGCATAATAGCTAGTCATCAGAGTGGGCCATGAAGAGCAAACTTACCGCAGCATCTGAGATGGAGACTCGGTGGGACTCTATTGTTGGCCTCCTCACTATTCGTGGTGAAATGTGTGTGGAGGGTCCTGTGGCGTATGGACCAAAGTCTGGAAGATCAGCGGAACTCAAGCAATTTCCAGTAGTCTTTTCTTGAAGAGAATACTTCCTGCCAGTCAAAATGGGCCTTTTGGGGACCTTCTTTGGTGCATGCAGCTTATTGGTGCCATCCAGTTCTTCAGATGTTTCTGAATCAACACTGACCCCATTCCTTTGGTTTTTCGCTGCTGTGCAGTTAGAGAACAGAACATTTTCTTCTATTGCTTCCTGACTGTTAGGTTTAATAGCATTGGGACCAACAGCTACACTGATGGCAGCTACTCTCTTGGCAAGCTCTGTCTGGGCATCTTTGCAACACATGTCTGTGACTTGGCCAACAATCTCTGCTGTGGAATCACCCATATTTGAATCCTGGCTTTTTATGTTATTAGATGATGGTGTAGGCCATCGGGACTGAGTAGTTCATTTGAAGCATCCAAGGTGGGGATTTCAGCCACATGGATCTCTGGAAAGAATTGTAATAAGGAACAGGGTAAGCAAAGAGGAAGCCATTATTTTTAATCAGTACAGCAGGGGTAGCCAACTGGTGCCTTCCAGATATTTTGGAGCACAACTTTCATAATCCTTTGCCATTAGTTATTCTGCCTAAAGTTCATGGGAGGTGAAGTCCAAAACATTTGGGAGAGCACTGCTGCAACAGTATATTGCACTTGTACTATTTTCAAACACCCCAACCATCTTGATTTACCTGTTATAACCTCTCTTGTAAGTGCATTACTAGCCCTGTTTTTGCCTTTGTGGGATGCTAATGTATATCTCTTGAACTTTTTTTCTCCAACCCAACACTCTTCAGATGTGTTGAAATGCATCTGGTAGAGAATTATTGGCATTGAAATCCAATATATTTAAAGACCACCAGATGGAGAAGGCTGCTTTAGAAATTAAATCACAAGGCTGGGAAAGGATGGATCCTACTTCTATTACACTCCCACCTGTTCACATGTAAGAATATAAGAAGAGTCCTGATGTATCAGACCAAAAGCCAATGTGGCTCATCATTCTGTGCTATCAGATGCTTACAGGAAACTCACAAACATGGACTGGAAGACTGTATCTCACTTCCACTTCTCTAGGAGCTGGTATTTAAGGAGTGCAGGCTATGATTCAGGAGTTGGTATCAAGCCATCCTCAGTGACAGAGGTGGTGAGTGCACCATTGGGAGACATGAAAGCACAGAGTAGGGATAGATCATCTTGGAAAAAATCTATCTACATGGTTGCTAGGAGTCAAAAATGACTTGATGGCACATAATAAATTTTTTTAAAAATCAGGCCATCAATGGCTATTAGACAGCCCAATCCTCCATAAGTATGTCCAGACTCCTTTAAAAAAAAACATTTCAACTGGTGATCATCATCACATCTGAGAGCAACGAATTCTACAGCTGAACTCTGTGTTCTGTAAATAAATGTTTTCTTTTATCAACCTTGAATCTCCCTACATTTCATCTCAATGGATGATCCCAAATCATCCAGAGGGAGAAAAATGTCTCTCTGTTCACACTTCCATACCAGGTATGATTTTATATACTTCTATCACAGCTTCCCCTAGCCTGCCCACCCTCCATATGCATGGATTGAACTCCCAGAATTCCCAGCAATGAATTGAAGGCCACACCATTTGGAGGACTCTCAGGATGGGACGGAGAAGCTGTAGCTTTTCTTCCTACAGAAGCTGTGTTATCCCATAATCATCTTGGTTGCTTGCCTGCACAAATCATTAAGGCACCAGACACTGTACAGCCATTTTACATGCTGCAGATGCTAAGATTCAGGTACAATCATCTGTTCAATTAATGCATTAGCTGAGAACATGTTTCGCCAGAAGGAGAAAAGATAGCTTTTAAAAGCTGTATGAAGCCACAGAAATGCTGAAAATAAAAAGGATCTCTGAATATAACATATATAGGTTGCGTTAACCTTTAGCAGCGCTTAGTAAGGAAGCAAGTGGCTTTGAAAGGGATCCTTAAAATGAGAATTGGTAGGAGGTGAATGAATTGGTTTGTTTTAAGGGCTGTGGCTGACATAATTTTAGAAGGAGAAGACTTTCAGTGGCAGAAGACTCTTTCCCCCTTTCTTCCCTTTTTTAATACCAAAAAGCCACTGGCTATGCCTTAGGAATTAGCTGCACCACTCCCATCTTTCCTTCTTTTTCATAGGTACCCTGCCAGAACCAGTCCGAATGAAGTGGGCCATTTCATGTAACAACTGCAGGGGCTGGGGCTGGTCTAAACAGTAGTAGCCTCCCACTCTTACCCACCTGAACAAGTCAGTTATTCCAGAATTGCCAGAGGATGCTGCCCTATTTCCAACACTGAAGTAAGAATTATGAGAACTGGGATGGGCACCATCTTGTCCTTCATCCCAGGCCACCCTATGGCTGGCCTTTCACTCTAGACAGAGAGGATGGTGGCCACAGAACCAACAAATGGTCCATTGCTGGTCTGCTGAAGCTCTGAGCAGGAGAGATGTAGCTCAGGCTGAACTATAAGGATTAAGTCCAAGGCCCTGAATCCTGGCTCCCCACTGTATCATCTGATTACCCAGGAAGCAGGAGGCAATAGGGCAGCAGAAAACAGCCCTCACTATATTTCCAAAGTATCTGTATATGCCAGGAGGATCCAACAGAACCAAGGGTGCTCACCACACCTTAAGCTTATTTTCTACTCCACTAGGACCAAGAGCTTTTAAAGTGTGAAAAGAAAAGAAAAAGAAAAGAGGTAAGAAATCAGTATAGGGGAAACAAGGGGAAGGAGAAGTAGACATCCATGCCACCTTTGTAAGTCCCTTCCCCATTTTCTCTAAAATGCAAAGCTAGAATAGTTAGCATTACCCTGTTTGTCTCTCATTTTGGGTTTGCTCCAAACATTCCATGTAAAAATGGAAAATCGGGCAAATCCCAGTATCCCAGGCTAAAAAAATCAACTTTATCATAAGAATATTTTTATAGAAAATATTGGAAGTATTTACACTTAGCTCAATCTTCCTCCACCAAATACCCTCCAAATGTGCTGAGACTACAAATTCTGGAGCCACCTGCTACAAAAGGAGGACTCCAATGGGAGGCTGCGTTAATTCATCAAAACTGAGAATCCATCTCTGTAGTTCTTAAGTTTGTAAGTCCAAAGCCAATTCTGGCAACCTGAGCTTTTTACATGCATAATATCCTATATCCAAGGTGTGGAGTTTGGGGTTTTTTTGGGGGGGGGGTTCCCTACCAAGTCAACAACAAACTCAGGTAGCTGGCTGCCTATTAATTTGGAATTGAAATGGCACCATTCCAAAATGCTTCTTTAAATAGGATGGTGCGTTATATAGAAAAGCAATGTAGCTGCTGAAAGCAGAAAATAAAAACAACAACAAAAAAAGAACAGATGAGTAAGAGTGAATTTATCTGCTCACACTTTATAGTAAGTAGCCTAATGAAACAGAAGATATAAAACAGCATCTCTAGCAAGCTCTCCACTTCCCTAGAGAAAATTCTCAAAACAATTCTCCATACAATTGGGAATGGAAACTTTCTGGTCCTACAAAGCAGGAGAAGAGGCCAGCAGAGGTGGTGGTACACACTATCATAGGGGAAGGGAACATGGAAGCTGGCTTGCTGCAAATCATCACCTTCACTTACAAAAATACCTTAGGCTGTAGAGGGGATCCCAAAGGTTGGCTGCACTGGAGTACAAGTGTACATGTATGGGTTGAAGGTATGGTCATCAGATGAGGGGAAGAAAAGCATGCCTCGGATAGCACAGTGGGACTAGAGATAACAGTTTGTCACCTTCTGATGTTGCGTTAATGGTCATGCCCACTATGGAAGCCATTTTCTGAACAGGCAACCCTCTTCCCCCAGCAGTTATTTCATGAACACATTCACGATGGTCTCCTGTCAACATTTCAGATCTGCACACTGGGCCCCAAAAGTTGCCTACGTCTGCTGTATTGTGTAACTAGAAACAGCATTAAAAGGAACATGGATCACTGCCTTGTCGTGGCGAAGGGGCTTGCGTAACTCAGTGAAGCCATGAGCTATACCGTGCAGGGCCGCCCAAGAC